GCCATATCTCTGTTGCCTAAAATTTCTTTTGCTATTCTAGGTCTCTTCTGGTTCCAAATGAATTTTTGGATTGTTTTCTCTAGTTCTGTGAAATGTATTGTTGGAATTTCAATTGGCATTGCATTAAACCTATATAGTAGTTTTGGAAGTATAGCCATTTTCACTATATTGGTTCTTTCTATCCAGGAACAAGGGATGTCTTTCCATTTTCTTTTTTTCTTAGTTTTGCCAAATATACTATGGTAATGTAAGGTGCTAACAACCATTGTTAACCATTATTTTTTGTAACTTTTCCTTAAATCTAAGATTATTCCAAATTTTATAACTTGATGAATTTGAGTTAGAGGTATCACAGATCTATGCATGTTCTTAGTCTCTGAGGGGCCGTGCACCTCTGACACAAGGTAATGCAGTGGCTTTGGGGTATCTTAATGTCCCTAACTTTTACTTTGCTTGACCTTAAAATAAAGACAATAAAAATGTCTGCCTCAAGCCAGGCATGGTAGCACCTATTTGTAATCCCAGCACATGGGAGGCTGAGGTAGGAGGATTGCTGCAAGTTCAGGACCAGCCTGCATTACACAGTGAGTTCAAGGCCAGCCTTAACTACATAGCAAGACCCTCTCTCAAAAAATACAAAAAAAAGTGCCTCAAAACAATTATGAGAATTACATATTCATAAACTGCCTAGCATAGGACTTTATAGGATTTGTTATGGGGCCTTAGAAGAATTTGACAAAGAAGTTTACTATTTCCACCACTAAAGAAGAAAAGAGTTTCACTATAGATCTTGTCTACATTGCCCATAAATAAAGCTCAAATTCCCTTCTGTGTCTTTTTGTTTTGTTTTATTTTGTTTTGGAGACAGGGTCTTGCTATGCTTTCAACTCACTATGTAGCCCAGGCTGCCCTCAAACTCAAGGCAGTCCTCCTGAGTGCTGAGATTATAGGCATGCACCATTGCACCAGGCCTTTTCTGTAATTTCTAACACCAGTTTTACTGTGAGCAGCTTGGTTTCCTGTGACCATTCTTGCTGCCCCATGAACTGCAGCCATAGAGAACTCTCTGGAGCTTTGACAGCCCTGTTTTCTCTACCTGAGTGTCTCCTCCTAGGTCATCCTTGAATATGTTGCTAACTGCCCCCTCTCTGAGAAGTCCTGAACTCCTTCGACCCTCCTTGGTCCCCCCCTTCTGTGTACACATGGAGGTGCATCTGACCAGTTATAGCTCAGCACCTCGCACTGCTATTGTTTATCTGTCTAGCACCTTTGCTAGGTATAAAAATCAGAAGATCAGAAATCTTCACTGAGCTAGGAGTAGTGGCACATGCTGTAAATGTAGCACTCTGGGCAACTTAGTGATACCCTGTATCAAAACAAAATGAAAAACAATGAAGATGCACATAGCTTAGCATGAAGGTCCCAAATTCAATCCCCAGAACCAGAAAGAAAAAAAAATCATCCCTTGTCTTCTTCTTCCTCTTCTTTCTCCTTGCTCTCTTCCTCCTCCTTCCCTCCCTCTTCCTCTCCTCTGGCCACAGCAGGTACGCCCTGGCTAGAAACACAAGAGTTGTTCCACCTGGAACTCCCAGTACAAAAAAGAAAAGTTCAGAAGGCAGATGTGTCCTGGACCAAATAGGGAGGGAGCAACTACTAATTTGTTGGGCTAGAAATAGCAGGATTTTTAACCCTCCTTCCAACACCCATATATTTCTTTCTTTCTTTTCTTTTCTTTTTTGGGGGGGAGGGTGGTACAGGGGATCAAACTCAAGACCTTGAGGTTGCAAGGCAGTTGGCAGAACTACTGAGCTAATTTCTTTCTCTTTTTAACCATAAACTGCAACACAAAAGCATATCTCATTTCAAGCAGGTCTCCTTTTAAAAGTTCTCTCCTAAGATGTTGTGATGTTCAAGCTTGGTTTCCGAGTTCCTTTCCTCCATTTGATTTTTATTATTTTGCAGGGAGGAGGCATTAGAAGTCTCCACACCATCAAAGTAGAATTTTTTTTTTTTTGGTACTGGAGATCGAACTCGGGTCCTTGCACTTGCGCAGCAGGTGGCAAAACCACTGAGCTAAATCCCTGGCCCCCAAAGTAGAATTTTGAGAGCATATATGTATTGTTTTCTTTTTTTGTTAGACAGGGTCTCATGTAGTTCAGACTGCCTTGAACTCACTATGTAGCCCAAGCTGGCCTTGAACTCACAGCAATCCTCCTCCCTAAGCCTTAGCCTCTCATGTGCTGTCATTACAGGCGTAAGCCACCATGCTCGGCCAGCATATTTGTGTTCTATTGGGAAGGAGAATGGGTTGATTTTATCAAACACCTGAAGAGATACATAACCCTGAAAAGGTTAAGAACCATTGTCTGGACAACCCTTGGACTTTCAAATGGGTGAAGGCCCAGGATCCATGGAGTACCTCCTGTGGGATGTGGGCCAGCTCAGGTGGCAGGAAAGTAAGGAGAGCTCTGTCAGCTCTCGAATTCATGCTGTCAGTATTTATGCATATTTCCTGGGTTCCAGGCCTTTCAGCAGGAGACATGGGGATCCCACTGTAACACGCAGCTCTTCTGTCTCTTGGAGCTTACAGTCTGCTCTGGCTTGTGTTTAGATGTCCCCTCAAAGCCTCATGCAGTCATAGGTGAGGGTTTTTTGTGTTTTTTTTTGGTACTGGGGATCAAACTCTGGACCTTGCGCTTGTGAGGCAGGCAGTGAAACCACTGAGCTAACTGCCCGGCCCAGGTGAGGCTTTTCAGAGGTGGCTGGATCTAGAGTGTGTGACACTGGGATTAAAGGTGTATGATTACTAAATTAGTCCACTGATTGGTTTGGCAGAGTTCTGAGTGTGGATAATGAGAAGAACCATCCTCAGTGTGAGTGCTACCTGCCCTAAGGGCATGTAGCCTGGACAGAATATAAGGAACAGAAAGAGGTCTGCTGCTGTCTCTCTCTCTCTTTTTTTTTGGTACCGGGGATCGAACTCAGGTACTTGTGCTTGCGCAGCAGGCAGCAAAACCACTGAGCTAAATCTCCGACCCAGTCTCTTTTTGCTTGCTACTTCTTTGCTACTTCACTGCTTTGCTGCCTTCTGCCCACCATGAATTGTTTCTCCTCCGATGCTCTCTGCAATGCCACACTGCCTTGGAGCCAGCTTCTCTATAAACTGTGAGCCAAAATAAATTTTTCTTCCTTTAAACTTAGGTGTTGGGCATTTTGTCTCAGCAACAAGAAAAGTAACTAAGACACTGTCTTATGAGACAACACACAATAAAGAAATGAAGACTTACAAAATCATCACTTCTTCATCTCTATATTCTTCTGGTGCTTGACATATAGTTGTTGCCCAGAAAAACTGATGCATAAATTTAATGAATATGAATAGAATTACTGTTGCTCAAAATTGGTTTTTGGGTTTTTTGTTTTTTTGTTTTTTTGTTTTTGGTACTGGGGATTGACCTTGTGCTTGTGAGGCAGGTCAAAATTGTTTTTGAAGGGCCCAGGGATTTAGCTCAGTGGTTCCACTGCCTGCCTCACAAGTGGAAGGACCTGAGTTTGACCCTCGGTACCAAAAAAATTGTTTTTGAAGATAACCAATGAAAATTTACATTTGGTTATTATATATGAAAACCTCATTTAGTTCACTGCATTGAAAACCAATGTTACCAGATAATATTTTATTTACATCTGATTCATCTATAGAACAGACTTGATATGATTGAGAAACCAAATCTTGGCTTTCTTTTGTTCTTTTTTCTTCCATGTTCCAGTTATAGCCATAACTTTTGAACTATATTTGGAAAGGCACTGGCCAGGAAAAAAATGATAAAATTTTTCCTTATGGTGAATAAACAAGGACAGACCCGACTTTCTAAGTACTATGAACATGTGGACATTAACAGGCGAACACTTCTGGAAACAGAGGTCATAAAGAGCTGTCTCTCTCGATCCAGTGAACAAGTAAGTTTCTGATGTTCTCTTTCATCTCTGTAGTCAACTTGGCCTTGGCAAATGTGTTATTAGTGAGTCTCAATGGTCATCATCTTCTCTGAACTATGTTCCTTCAACAGCTATTAGGGAAAATAAGGAATGAAAACCAAAGGAAGCATAGCTTTCTTTATATCCCCAAAAGAAAATAAAAACAAGAAAAGCAAGAATAGTCTTGGGTCCTTACTTAGGTCAGTACATTTGTCTCAGTATACCATAGAAGTGGCAGCTAAATTTACTCCTGCTAGTAAACATAATCTTTTTTTGTTCATATGAATTCAGCCCTTGGAATTCTTAGGAGTGCCTGGAGCAGGTGGCTCTCTGTAAGCCAGAATTGAAGGTCAAATGACTGGTATGAAGGTGAATACTCAAGGATAATTATATCATTTTGTGCCAGAGGATAATATGATTCCCATGTGGGGATAGTATTTTTTCTTGATTATCATTTTTGTAAATATACTACCAATATAATGCTAGCACTAGTGATTTGGAAACAAAACAAATCTGATATGAATTTGTTTTATTTTATCATGTAGATGAGGACAAATGGAAGTTAAAGAGTCATATAAAACAACATATCTGTCCATCCTGCCAAAATTTCTTTTTCTTTTGTGGCTCTAAGGTATTGAACCCTGGGCCCTGAGTATATTAGGGAAGCTCTCTACCACTAAGCTAAACCCCAGCCCCATCCTTCCAAAATGAAGGTTAAGTAAAATCATTAGAATAATTGGAATTTATATGGATGTGGATTTGGGGATCAAACTCAGAACCTTGTACATGCTAAACACTCACTCTACCCCTACTGCTCTACCTCAGCCCATAAATAGTACTTTTTAAACTGAACCAATTTTTTACAAAGAACTTTAGAGAATTATTTAATCCAGGTTTTAAATCAACAACTGAAGAACTGAACAACTCAACTGAGCAACTCAACAGCTGAAGCAAAATCAGAAGTTGTGTTTAAATCACCCATTAGTTTCCTCACTTCTCCATTTCCCTGCATATATAGAAAGGCTACCAGTGGGAACCGGTAGGAAGTCATAAGCTCTTAAGCTACATCAGAGCTCAGAAGTTACATGGCGCAAATGTGTTTCCCTTGGCTTTTATATTTATTTTCTAATTGGGACATCTCAGAGTTCCTCTTTGAATTCCTACTTTGGCCTTTTGTGGTGCACTGCTTTGAATGGAAATGGTGTAAGGGGCTGCGTTATTAGCCACACACTTCAAGTAAAGGTAAATAGACAAGCATTCTTGTTTGAATCTTTCTACAGAATAGTCACTGTAATATCAAACATCATTTTCACTGAAACACAAACCTTTTTTTTTTCCGAGTACTGAATCTAGGGCCTCCCATATGCTAGGCAAGTTCTCTGCCATGAGCTACATCCCTACCCTTTTCTAAATTTTATTTTGAGACAGGGTCTCACACGTTACCAGGCTGTCCTCAGACTTGAGATCCTTCTGCCTCAGCCTCCCAAGTAGCTACGATTATTAGGCATGCACCACTTTTAGAAATTTTTAAATCATTCTAAATTTTATTTAAAAGAAACCCACTGGTCCTTTGGCATAACCAGGCATTAAATTATCATAATATTAGCTTAGTATTTATTTTATCCACGAGGGCGCTTTGATGATTTTTTCTTAACATCAAAAACTGCTAAAAGACTTTGAAAAATGTCCCTCATCTGGGTTCAGTGGTGCATGCCTTAATACCAGCCCTGAGGGAAGCTCACAAGTTTGAGTCCTAGCTGGGTGACTTATCAAGACCCTGTTCCAAATTTTTAGGACATTTAAAAAGGACTGGGTTCAGTCTCCAGTACTATGGGGGGAAAAAGGAAAAATGTCCCTTAATTCTTTCAAATGAGTTGTGTTTCCTTGAAAGATCCAACTGAGCAGAAATCACATTGGTCCTTCCATGAGCCCTAAGCTGCAGAACAGTCTTGTACTTACTACTTTTATTCTAATTTTAAATATAAGCCTCAGATCCCTCATTTTATATTATCAAATGGCTTTCCTATGAAGCAATTTCCATAATCAGAATTTACAGCTTCAGCTGGGTGTGGTGACACACATCTGTAATCTCTGGATTCTGGGAAGTTGAGGTAGGAAGATCATGAGTTTGAGCCCAGGGTGGGCAACTTAGTGGGACTCTGTTTCAAAATAAAAAATAGAAGGGGTTGGGCTGTAGCTCAGTGTGAAGGCCCTGGGTTCAATCCTCAGTACTAACAAAACAAAAAAACCTTGCAGCTTCAGTGGCAGGTGTATCTATTAATACAACAGCAACATCTCACAATACCAAAGACCGTAAAGTTTATATTCAGTCATATCCAGTCAGCACACCCTGAGAGAGTCCAAAGGAAGAGTAGCTCTTCACCTTCAGCCTGCTGTCTAATTCCCAATGCTGACACACAGCCCTCTGAGGTGGTTTTAGTAGAGAGATGAGAGATGAGGAGAGAGAAGGAAATTGTTGCATCCACCACTCTGTCCTGGTAAGCTAGTTATTAATTCATCTGAATCAGTGTTTACAGTGGGAGATTTTGTCTAGCATCCACCACAAAAAGGCTATCTTGACATAATTTATAGAAGAATCTGCATTGATTCTTATTGTGTGTCTAGGAAAAAGGAATACATATATATTATATATACACACACATATCACACACACATACATACACATAATGCTGCTTTTATTGTATTTGCCTTCTCAGTGACTTAAATAGTACACAACTGAGTGTATCTAATTGCTTCCCAAGATGCCATGGGGAGGTGGAAAGAAGAGAATCTTTATCATGTTTGTGTATCTTCACATTGGAGGCAATCTAAAATGCTCATTATTCATTAGCTTTGCCTGGTGAGTTAGTTCCACACAGAACCGAGAAATGAATGGAAAGAGTACAAATGGTAAGCCACATGATCTCAGACTTTTTCCCGTTCTACTTCTCCACTCCTGCTTGAGATGCTTCCAAGGAGTCCTCCGAATGCTGTGAGAAGACCAATAAAGGTTGTATAACATTTCACTGTTCTATATTTCTTTTTTTTTTTTTTTTTTTCCAGGGATTGAACTCAGGACCTTGAGCTTTTGAGGCAGGCACCAAAACCACTGAGCTAAATCCCCGGCCCCACTGTCCTATATTTCTAGGACTGTGTGGAAGATGCTCAAACCAGAATTTAGAAATTATGCATGCCATTTTAAAGAAATCTCTTGTCACCCAAGGACATTAATATCTATTTGTGTTTTGTCTAGTGTTCTTTCATTGAATATAAGGATTTTAAGCTGATATATCGGCAGTATGCAGCTCTCTTCATTGTGGTTGGAGTTAATGACACTGAGGTAAGATATTAGAAGAGCCCATAGAAAATACAAGGAAAGGGCCAGAGATTTAGTTCAGTGGCACTGTGCCTGCCTCACAAGTGCAGGGTTCTGAGTTCAATCCCCGGTACCGAAAAAAAAAGAAAGGAAGGAAGGAAGGAAAAGAAAATAAGGATATTAGGGATCCCTCTGATTTTTATTCCTTCTCCTACCTATCTCCATAAGAATTATTGTGCAACCTTTTTTTTTTTTTTGCAGTGTTGAAGATTAAACCTAGGGGTTGGTTCATGCCATCTCGAGCCTTTTTCTTTTTTCTTTTTTTTTTTTTTGAGGTCTTGCAATGTTGCCCAGACTCCTGAATAGCTGAGATTATAGGCCTGTGGGATCAGACCGAGCTGATTTTCTTTCTTTAACAGGATCCTGTTATATAGTTCAGGCTGGCCTTGAACTCTCTGTATAATCCAGGCTCACCTCAAACTCCTGGCAATTCCCCTGCCTCACCCTCTCAAGTGCTGGGAATACAGGCATGCACCACCACACCTGGCTGACTTTTTTTTTTTTAATGAAACTGTATCTCACTGTGTTGCTCAGATTGGTCTCAAACTCATGAACTCAATTGACCTCCCACTTTAGCCTCCTGGGTAGCTGGGAGGGCAGACATGCTCCACTGCACCCACCTAGAATCTCTGCCTTTATCCTAAGCCATTCCAGTGTCCTGCCCTGGTTCACACAATGGGGGCAGCTCAGATGAGGGCAGAGGCCAGTCATCACATTAAACATGGGCTGACATATCAAAGTTACAGTAATCTGTAAATATGATGGTATTGTATTTACATCTCTTGAAAGATGGCCCCAGATCAAAGGCACATGTGGTACCCTGAAGGGTGTTTCAGATTGAAAAACACTAAAATCTCAGTGGATGGTTTTTATCCATGAACCACTTTGAACCTGAAAAATTGCTTAAGCCAGTTGGTGATAAAAGAGAGTAGAGTTTAAAACTCTACACACTGGACTCTGAAGTTTCACTTTGGTCAGATGCATTATGGTCTAAATAAATTCAAAAGCCAGTCTTAGAGATTAAGGTTGTCTACACTATATTTCCTCCGTTAAGAAGCACCTTCTGCCTTCCCTCCATGTTGGGAATCAAACCCAAGGCCTCAAGTATCCTAGTTAAGCACTGTACCACTGAGCTACATACCCAACCACACCCCGAGCTCCAGCCCTGCGCCTTTTTTTTTTTTTTTTTTGGTAGTAGCGGTTGAACCTAGGGCCTCTGCCATGAGCTACATCCCCAGCCTTTTTTAAAATTTTCAGACAAGGTCTTCTTAAGTTGCCTTGTCTAGGCTCCAACTTGCAAGCTTCCTATCTCATCCTCCCAGAGTGCTGGGATTACAGGCGTCCACCACCAGGTCCAGACTTTTTTTTTTTGTACTGGGGATTGAACTCTGGTCCTTGCACTTGTGAGGCAGGCAGTGAAACCACTGAGCTAAATCCCCGGCCCTAGGTCCAGACTTTTTTTTTTTAAATTTTATTTTGGGCCGGGGATTTAGCTCAGTAGTTCTGCTGCCTGCCTTGAAAGTGCAAGGTCCTGAGTTTGATCCCCAGTACCAAAAAAAATTTTTTTTATTTTGAGACAAGGTCTCAATAAGATACTAAATTGCACAGTCTAGGCTTGAACTTGTGATCCTTCTGCCTCAGTCTTTCAAGCAACTGGGATTATAGGCATGTGCCACCACAGCCAGCTAAATAAGCATCTTTTAAATAAGCCATTAATAAGTCTGTTCTGGATGTTTGCTTGCATTATTGTTTGCTAAGCCACATACTCTAAAACCTGGTTGCTGACTGGGAAAATTTCTATGTCTGATTTACATGAGGAGGACCGTGCTAATTTTTTTTTCTTTTTCTTTCTCAATACTGGGGATTGAACCCAGGATCTTTGCACTGAGCTGTATACATCCTCAGCCTTTGTTTTCTTTTTGCTTTTGAGACGGAGTCTCCCAAAATGGCTAAGTTGCCCAGGCTGGCTCAAACTTGCCATTCTCCTGACTCACCCTTCCAGAGTGCTGGGATTGTAAGTTTGTGCCACCGTGCTCAGCTGCCATGCTAAAATTAATTGCACGCATTCCTCTTTATTTCAGAATGAGATGGCCATTTATGAATTCATCCACAATTTTGTGGAAGTTTTAGATGAGTACTTCAGCCGAGTGGTAAGTCTACTGACTAAAACATGATAGGCTGCCTCAGCCTACTTTTCTAGAAATTGAGTCACTGTAGGTGTATATCAAGATTATGTGTTAATATAGAACTTAAATGTGTAAAGGTTAAAATTCAAATGATGCCAGATTTTCCTTATCTTTCTTCCTGGTTCATCCGAAGAATTACAAGCCTATGTATGTGTTAGATCTTTATAAAGAACTGGCTCTTAAAAAGACAAAATACTTCTTAGTTCTCTCAGTTACAAAATTTTGTTCTTGCTTGTTCTCTCTTTTCTTCATTCTACTTTCACTACTAAGACACTTGAACCCTTTTCACTTTAAGTATCATTTCCATCTAAAACCTTGCTTTTAGATTTCTCTATAGGAATCCATGAGTCTGTTTTAAACCATCCGTTTTTATTTTAATAGCTGTATTGAAATAGAATTTACATACCATACAATCCATTCACTCAGAAGATATAGCTTTTAGTATCTACACAGAATTGTGCAACCACCACCATAATGAATTTAAGGAAATTTCAATAAACATAATACCCATTAACATTTTCCCCTAATATCCCCCTCCACCTACTCCAGGCCCTCGGCAACCACTAATCTACTTTCTGTCTGTATACACTGGCCTGTTCTAGACACTTCAGATAAATAGGATTATGCAATTATAAGGTCTTTTGTGACTATGCCTTTTACTTAGCATAATGTTATTAAGACATGTTTTTAATGTTATTTATGAATGTTATTAAGCTACCCATGTTATAGCATAAATCAGTACTGTTTTCCTTTTTATTGCTTAATAATATTCTATTGTGTGGATATTCCAAATTTTCTTTACTCATTTGTTGATTGATGGACATTTGAGTTATTTCCAGTTTGGAGCTATAAATAATGCTGCTATGAACACTTGTATCCACATTTTTATTTTTATTTTATTGGTACCGGGGATCGAACTCGGGTCCTTGCTCTTGCACAGCAGGCGGTGAAACTACTGAGCTAAATCCCCGGCCCGTATCCACATTTTTATGCAGAACCATGTTTTCAGTTCTCTTGGGCATATCCCTAGGAGTAGAACTGCTGGGTGATGTGGTAATTCTATATTTAACCTTTTTATTTTTTTGGTACCAGGGATCGAACTCAGGGTCTTGCAAGAAGCAAGGCAGGCGCAGTACCACTGAGCTAAATCCCCAGCTCATATTTAACATTTTGATGAACTGCTGAACTGTTTTCCAGTGTCTAGATTATTTAATTTCCCATCATCAGGGT